TAAAAATAAATGCAGTAAAGTACACTTACTTTGAGGTGTGCATGTAGAAGGCTCCTGGTTGCTGCTGCTGATGATGATGATGGGAATTAGAATGGGGGTGGAGGAGAAGGGAGAAGAGAAGGCAGTGGGGGTGGAAGAGAAGTCACCCCATGCTGCCATTTCACCCATAAAATTTTAGTTCACTTGGTGTAATTCAAGATTATTTTCTTTAAATCAACACTGCAGCTGCACTATATATTATCAATATGTAAAATATATTTCAAAATGACCAATAATTTGACTGGAAACACAGAAAAAAAGCGTTTATGTTGAAGAGTCTCAAACAAGATGTTCCTTCCTCTGAACTGGTAAACAAACTGACACCAAGCGTGGTGTGTTCAGTGGTTTGGCATGCAAAAAACTAGTTTCTTTACCTTCAATTATGTTCAATAATTGTTAAAATTACTAAAAAAATTTAATATAAAACTTTTAAAATTATTGAATAGTACAACCTTCTTGATATTTACTAAAATGGTAAGGAATTTAAGCCCTAAAACCAAATTATTGTATTGGCGGACTAATACTACAGCTGGTGGGCAGCCAAATGCAGGCGAAAACATGTTGGGAAAAATTCGTAAGGAATTTGTTAACCGAGGGTTTGCTTGTTAACCGAAGTGAAGAATCTTATGGAAGGTAATTCGTTAATCAAAATTTCATTAAGCAAGGCGCTCGTTAACCGAGGGATCACTGTACAGTCAGTCCTTAACATACGCGGGGGTTACATAACAGAGATAGCCGTGGATGTTAAAAATCCGCGTACATGTGCCCCCCCCCCCCCAAAAAAAAACCCTGGCCCCCCATGTCCTTATTTACCGTATATACATGTGTGTAGTTCGAGTTTTTAAGACCAAATTATTTTGCAAAAAATTGGGGGTCGACCTCTAAAAGGGTAATAGTTTCGTTAGGTTGAAAAATATTTACCAGTAACTACCAGTAAACAATGGAAACGACGCACCAACGCACCACCAGCTGTGAGTGTCGGTACAGTCGCCAGGGCAGATCTCTTGCGTCATCATAGCAAGCCCAAAGTAGCCAAATGCATGATATGGTATACACAGGACGATGTAAAACAAAGTATTCATTTGTTAAAGTTTATTTATAGATACTGTACATAAATTTTTGTTCATTACATTTGAAACATCAATCTTTGTTAATTAAATTTGATAAAAAAGAAAACTACGATACCGTATTTTCATTAAAATATTACATCACAAGTATATTTTACCTTAACTGTGATTGAATGAATATATTCTCAGAAATAAATATGGAAATGTAATATTTTGGCTGAAATGACATACATATTACTGTACAGTGGAAAGTGGGATAAAATTATGAAAACAATGACTTTCGCTTTCTTTCCCTGTTCAAAAGATTTTACCGTAATCGCTTTTCGAATGGTTTTCAGTTAAAAAACTGTTGTACTGTACTCGTACTGAATTACAATAATATTCTATCCTATCATTAGCCTTATAATCCAATAACTGAAAACCATTCGAAAAGCGATTACGGCAACATCTTTTGAACGAAAGAGAGAGAGTCATTGCTTGCGTCACAATTTTATCCCACTTTCCACTGTAATACGTACATCATTTCAGCAAAAATATTACATTTCTATGTTCTCAGAAATAAATGGTAGTTTTGTTGAAACGTAATGTACAGTATTTAATATTAAAAGGCAAAAATAGCTATAAAAACAATTAATACACCCGAAATATACTGGCTGGCATCTCCACACGTCCCTGCTCCTGCGTCCAAGGTCACCTCACCACTCCTCCCAACTCGCTCCATCCGCTCCCTCTGCACTGCCGACAACAAACACAAATGTTTTGTGAATAACTGCACCTCCACTTCCTATGTACAGTACTTGTACTGAACTGTACTGTGCTGTGCATTTTTACAAACAATAAACATGGCAAGAAAAGCTATTAAAAAAAAGAGATAAGAATTTCACTTTACTGTACAGTACCTCTCCTCGGCGACAGGGCGGGGGTCATCGGGCTCATCGTCACTCAATTCCATAACACGTGGTGAAGTGGGGGCGACTGTGGATTCAGCTGCTTCCTCACTGCCGCCAGTGATCGATGGTGTTAAATCTCTCCTTCGGTGATCAAAGAACACGGTGATGGGGAGTTGTCGTCTCTTTCTTTCATTTCTTCCATGATGTTTTTGTATGGAGCAAAAACGTCATCCATCCCTCGCATGAATTTCAGGGCACGCACCATGGAGGGGTCCATACTATAGGCCAGGTTTTTCAGTGCCTAAATATTCCTGATCATCTCCCCCAACTTCTCCAACGTTATTTCTTGGTGCTCTTCCTCATCCTTTTCCCTTTCGCTTCCTCTTCCTTGCCTGAGTCTACTAACTCCTGTAGATCCTCCTCGGTCAGCTCAGTGTCGTGCTCTTCAATTAGCTCCCTAATCTCGTCCTCTGCCATGTCCCGGAAGCCTTCAGCAGCCACTTTCCTTGACAGTGCCAGGGTCTATCTGAATATTTTCATTAAAATCCATCAAAATCATTTTCCTTGTCATCGTCTTAAGCGCCAAACAGCTCCTCCCAGTCTTCTCCTTGAACAGGGCTAGAGGGTACGTGTTTTTCGAATCGTTTTCAATTAAAAAAAATTTTACAGCACATGTAAATTTTACCTAAACTGTGCCTGAATGAATATATTCTCAGAAATGAATAGTAGTTTTGCTGAAACGTGATGTATTTCAATGTAAAATAGGATAAAATACATGACGAAAACAAAAGACTTTACCTAACCATCCAATGTTCAAGAGATGTTACTCGTTTTTTTAATAGTTTTCGGTTAAAAAACTGTTATATTACAATGATATTATATTCATACTCTGCTTGATATACTACATTCACGGAATGTAATATTTTAAGGAAATGACGACGATACAGTGGAAAGTGATGAAACAACACTTTCGCTTTTCGCTCAAAAGATGTTACCGTAATCGCTAGCTATTTTCAGTTAAAAAACTGTTGCATCACAAGTGAATTAGATAGAATACTTATTGTAATGCCAAACAGTTTTTAACTGGAAAACATTCAAAAGTGATACGTAACATTCTTGAACGAAAGAAAGTTAATCATTGTTGCCACTTTCCACTGTAATATCGTGACGCTTATTTTCAGCAAAATATTACACGCATATTCTCAGTAGCGCTAGTAGTTTTGCTGGAACGTAATGCATTTCCAATGTAAATTAGATAAACTACATGAAAACAAAAGACTTTACTCTAGCCTCCGAAGTGTTCAAGATATGCTACCTGCTTTTTTAGTAGTTTTCGTTAAAAATACTTTATATTAGTGATATTCTATCTATGTTTCGTGCTTGATATAAATAAGCATTCACGGAAATTCTAGGCTTTTGCAACTACAATGCTGATGTCAACATTGCCGCGGGTTATAGGTGGAGACTGACTGAGTGGGAGAAAGCTATGCAGGTGTGAGAGGTTGCGGAGCGGGCGTGTGTCCTGTGGTTCGTGCCAAGGCCATTTGAATGTACTTCAATTCATTTTAATGTACAGAATATTCTCCGGTTAAGAAATCTGTGATTTTGTAAACTGTATTATAAAAACCATGTGAGCATAAGCGGTATTGTATTTCATGATATGTGTTTTTGTATCAATTTTTTTGTTTATCATATCAATTATATAGCTACTGGTGCTCACACGAATAAATGACTTCAGTTGCTTTGATTGTTGGACTAAATAAAATAATTACCAATGGGGACAAGTTGGGATACTACAAGATCCAAATAGTTGGAATCTGGATAAAATGATTGCACTGTAAATGAAATAAAGTTTACAACACTGGATTTACACATTAATAGTGAGAGCGTTCTGCATACAGTGGCTGAGCCTGACATGATTAGGGAGGAGGCTGTTGGGTGTTAATGGGTTTGTATGGCAGGAACCAAATATTTCCAGGAGTGCTGAATATTAATTCTGGTTGCCTAGATACTCTGTGGTGCAGTGTATAGTACAGTACATCAACATTTCCCAAGTTATTTTATAATAAATTCTAAGATCATATATGTACCAAATTATATAGAAATTCGAGATATCGAATGCGAGTTATCAAGGTTTACTGTAATTCATTCATCTTGTTCTGTTTCATAATATATTCATATAATAATAATTTAATTTTGGAACCACTTGATTATTTCGAATTATAATTATCCAAATTAATGAGGGTACAGTGTATGGTAGATCCTTTAACATGAATACAGTACAGTGGGTATAAAATTTTAAATATATGGGTTTTCCCCATGACTGTGTGCCAAGTTTGTAGAGGTCAGAGGGTCTGCAGGCGCAAAGTGTTCTTGCTCTGGAAGCCAACCAGGCAGTATCCCCAGCTGGGTTGGTTGCTAAGGCAAATTTCATGGCAGCCAGTGTGTATGATACTGGGATGTAGGTGTGTATACAGATATAACCAAATAATTGTCTTTGTTTTTATACTTTTCATGTTGTTATTTAATGCTTTCATTATTACTGTATGTATGCCTAAAATTATAAGTTTTAATGTTGCAGTGTACAGGTAAAGCTACTTTTAGGAGTAATTTAGTGATCTGAAATGTGTATATTTATGGACAAAATATATTCTTTATTATTTTTCAATAATCAGGATTTTAAGCACATATAGCATTACTGCAGGATTTATGTAAAATATTTACTAGAATGTATTTCAAATTTATACATGGTAAGTGTTATTACAAAATCTCCTCTTTGAAAGTACAGTATCTTGTACAATTATTTCAAACCTCCTTTCCCCTCTTTTGTTAGAAATAAATTATTGGGCAATCGGTTTAACTGATTTTGGGTTTCTCAATTGGTTAGTTATCCTGAGTTTTACTGAACATTATAATTTATGAATGGTATGTTTGTTTACTAACTGTAAGAATTTCCAGCCCTGGATGACCAGATTTTATTTTTTTAACAATACTTTCCTTACAGAGCAACTATATCTATGATTCAAGAGGATATAGTAGCTGGTGTATTTGTTGACTATGGAGATTGTTTTGTTTCATCACGTGATAGAGTCCTTTTCTTCTTCCTTCTGCCATTTGCCGTGTCAGGCTATCAAAGCCAAATTACATGGTAAGTTAAATGAAAAATGTTATACAAAAGTTGCCTTTGTCTTCTTCATTCGGCAATAAACAGTGTTATTTGTAATCAAGAGTACTTGATAATTTTCAAAGCTAAATGTCAGTGTAAAGAAGTCAGAAAAATAATACCCAATGTACCATTTTTAGCTCATCTGTGTGAAGTTGAAAGCAAGAATAACAGATTAACCAAGTCAAATGTTTGGAGGTCATATCTCAGTCAGGATGTCCTAGAACACCAAGCAAGCATCAGAGAATGTACCTGGTACACTCTTGTAAATTACTGCTCTGTGCCATTGGTGGACTGCTCTGATATCTACTAGTTAATTACCCTAATGCTGATATCCCATTATTGGCTCAGACATAATAATTAGGCGACTAATATTCATACATTATATCGCAAGTAAATCCATATACAGTAGAAGTCCAAAAATCCGGACTGCTTGGGGATTGGGTGGGGTCCGGATTCTCAGGCAGTACTTTTAAAATTAAAATTTAAGGAGGAATAAAGAAGAGATGAACAGGTACATTTTGATAGTTTATTCATTAGCAAATAAAGCATGCTTCATTTATCAAAGCAGCGAGCAGTTTTAAAGAAAAATAAAGTCAACACTAGACAAAAATGTAAACAAACTGTCTAATACCATGATGAGTATTGAAATTCCTAAGCCATCCATCACTAAATGTGCACTCTGATTCAATGTTCATTTGCTCCTTAAAAGACTTTGCTTTGGCAATAAGCATCGGCCCAGAAATTGCCATACCTTCTGATCGTTTAACAAAACCATTAGTGCAACACTTTATCAAGATTTTCTAATTTGGGCCAATGTAAACTTTTTCTTTCAGCAATTTTAATGTAAAGGCTCAGAAGAAGCTGTGGATTCTAAATTTTATTCTTTGCCTTTTATATCATAAATTGTAGACTTTCAATGTTGTATGTTTCCATTAGAACAGCATTGCTCACATTACATTCTAGTTTCTTAATTATTTCAAGTTTGTCACTAAATTTCAATGTGTTCTTCTTTCTCTTCACACAACAAGTTTATCTACTTTAGGGAGCCATTATTATGGGCTTGTACTCTGTACATGGAAAGAGTAGGACTCAAAATTACATACGTTGTCACAGTTTGATTGCTTGTTTTAAAGTGGCGATCAGTGTGGTGATTTTGTTTAATAGTTGTACAGCTGTGGCGCTTTGCGCATGCCTACATATACACAAAAAGATTTATAGTGCCAAATTTTACATTTCAGTCAAGCTAATTACAACTAACAAAATTAGCTACCTATAATTTACATTACTTTTATTATTTGAATTATGTAAATTAATTTTTTAAAGCAACTCCATTCATTCACATAACCCACAAAAGCCCGTTAAATTTAAAAGTTTGAGTTTTCGAAAAGTCCGGATTCTCGGGTGGTCGGTTCCTGGCATCCGGATTTTTGGACTTTTACTGTATACTGTTAAGGATAGTGTTTCCAGTTCTGGCACTTTATTGCTGAATTTAATATCTGTAAAGATATAACTGCTTGAAAACATTAACTTTTAAGATATGAGTTGAAAAAAATTGAAATAAAGAATATTTAGTCAGAGTTACGAAGAAATTCATGCTTTCAGAGAACACATTTGCCGCTACTTCTTCTCTTTTCACTAAATATTATACATATTAAGACAAATGACACTAAACATATAAAGCAACGGATAATAATGATAATTTTATAAAAGGTAGAATTTTGTGTAAACACTACATATTCAAGAAGTATCCCACATATAGTGGTCACAATTTATAGACTATATATGGGTGAATTTCTCCAACCTGAGTTTCCATAACTTAGAGATAGTAATCTATATACAGTTATCAGCTTTTTATCCTAATATAGTCATGAGGATTGTGTATAATGTATATACAGTATTGTAAATATTCACTGAGAAATAATAAATAAATGAGGGAACAAAGCAACAGTAAGCATAATAAAAAAAACTATAACATAGTGCAGGTGCTCCTCTACTTACGAACGAGTTATGTTCCTGAGGCTTGTTTGTAAGTCCAACTTTACTCTTGTAGTTACCAAACATATTGTAAAAAATGAAAAGATTACATTATCTCGGCTTATAAGACGGAATTTGAACATTAAAAAAATCTGCCCAAAGTTAGGGGGTCGTCTAAATCACCAAGTATAAAATTCTTACCTCTTAAATATTGTGGTTTAGTGTGTCAAGAGTGGTGATGGAAACATCGTAAGCCACTCACAAGGTCTTACCACTAATTATTTTATACTGAAACTTCGTTTGGCAAGCTGGATTCAAATTAAGATTACCGGTATATTAAAATAATAAAAATGTATTTTTAAACCTGTCTAACATACCGTAAAAGAGAATTATTCCTGTAATAAACACAGCTATCATCACCTCACGCCCCATTTGCCAGTAGGGAGACAAGAAAGGGAAAGTGACTGCGAAGTTGGGCTATTTTTAGGCGTGGAGGTGGTCAGTAATGCATATCGGTATATTTACGATAATAATATTTATCTCTATAAATAACTAATTTAAAATTTATTTTTTACAAGGAATATTCAGTAAATGACTGCATTAATTCTTGAAACTACTGACAGTTAAATACAGACCTTAAGTGACGTCACTAGTGTTTACACTTCACCAGCTGGTAACATTTGATGCCATTACTTGGTGAATTGGCCTTATTTTAAGTAACTAACCATAAATAAATACAAAAGTTAAAAAAGATCAAAAGTGAAGTAATATACTGTATGTATGTTGTGTTGTCAAGTTAGAGAACAATTCAAACTGCAATTGTGTGTGTAAATGAGGCAGAAAGTCAGGTCAGCGCTGAACCTGGGACTTGGTCACAATTTTCGTGATGCCATATGGCAGCAGGGTCTACGTTAAACAACATTAGCTGCCAATATCTTCCCAGGCAGTAGTATCTACCTGTTTGGTAGCTGCCTACTACCTACACAATTTTTAGTAATATTACTTTGATACATGATAAATTAGACAATGAAAATAAACATCAAATTTAATTACAAGAGCTTCCCATTGGCAGCTGTAGAAAGAGGAGATGGGCTATTTTTATCATCTCTTTGTGTCAAGTGGCCAGTAATACCATATGTTACTGATCATAATACTTATCTCCTATAAATAATTAATTTAAAATTTATTTTTTTACATAGAATATTCATTAAATGACTTTTAAATAAATATACAAATAATTCAGTAAATCTATTTCAAGTAAATGGAAAATAAGCAAACAAATGTTATTTACCACCACCCTTTCCCTGGCTCAGGGGTGAGTTGGAGGGAATAAAGAAGGCTATTTATAGCCCGTCTTTGTGTCTGAAGTGACCAGTACCCTAATGCACCATAAATAATTCATTTAACATTTATTTTTGTATATATATATATATATATATATATATATATATATATATATATATATATATATATATATATATATATATGCAAGTAAATCACTGTAGGTGCGCGTGATCTAGGTATATGCTGATAACCACAAGGAAGAAGAAAACACGAAGTTCCAAAGCGCTTTCGTGTAATTCACATCTTCAGGGTGGTGCAGACTAGAAGTGTACAAATCTGTTGTATTATATATAGTGCTAGTAAATGGAAAAATTTTACTCAACACAGACTTTAGTTCAGTTACGGTAAATAGCAGGCTTCAGTGGCGTCACTAGTGTTTACACTACACCAGCGGTAACATTTGATGACATTACTTGAAGTGAATTGGCCTTATTTTAAAAACCAAGGATGGTTGGTAAGGACTACTGAGTCAGTGGGTAAGTGTCTTTGAATTGCATGGTCTTATACAGCGAATAGAGCTCAAAAGCTACTTTTTAAATGGAAATTTGGGGGGGCCGTCTTATGCACCCCGACGCCTTATAGAGCGAGATATACGGTATGGATATTTAGTACAGCTATACCCTTTAATACAGCCTTTAAACCTGGCTCACTCTTCTCTTAGATTTAGGGTAATGTTTGTTCTGTCTGGAATTTTCTTCAAAATAATCCAGTCTTTTCCACATTAAACACCTGTTCTGGCAGGTAGCCCCCCTCAGTGATGATGTTTGTATCTCTGAAAGTTTGTAAGTTGAACATTCTTAAGTAGAGGAGCACCTGTAATTAAGCATTTTAAGCCGAGTATGGGGGTTTAGGACCATATGAGACCTTTGGAGCAAAAAGGTTAAGGGCCCTCAGCATTAGGACAGCTTACCTGCTTTTGGATTCTGCTAGGTAAAAGGATTTTAACACTTGGGCTTGAGTATTCGCTCTCCTGGGAGACACTTGGGGTCTGGCCTGTTACTCGCCTTACTGCACTTGACTGCACCACAAGAGAGATAATTGTACTTAGTCATAACAAGCTTGCTATTTGAGATAAAAAGGTAGGATTTGTTGCATTAGCACTGTAAATAAATTATCTAAAATCAGTTTTATGAGTCATTATGATAAAATAATTTTTTCTATACGTAAGCACGAGTAAAACACACACATTTTATTTTTTGCTTAATGAAAATGTTTATACATCACTTCATTGCTTCACTATTTCATGGGATTGCAATATGAACCTTATTCCACTATAAAGTGTACATAGTTAGGAAAGAAAAAGTTATACGTATAAGAAAAGTTGTGAGAAAATTAATTCTGTACAGTAAAACAAAAATAAATCGTACTTCAATATCTGTATATCGGAATTTGCTTTTTTTGGGCTCTGAGATGCTCTGGTCACCAAAAATACTAAAAAAAGGGGGGGGGGGTTAAATAAAAAATCTGATGAAATGGACCACACTTTTTTCTTTTCTTTTTTCTTTTTTTACGGGAATTAGCCCACCCGGGCACAGGTCAAACGACCCACAACGGGGCCTGGGGGACGAAAAAATAAGAACAGAAAGAAAATGAACCTAGAGAAGAAAAGGGTTATACTGTGTTAATCTACACCAGGGGTGGGCAATTATTTTTGATGGAGGGCCACTTCATGAATGGTGGCACACTTCGCGGGCCACAGGTTAACAGCGACGAGCCAGTATTGCTGCTATGTCCACCCAACTTCCAAAATTGTCCTTTCTGTAATTAATAAGAATTTTTTTTTTCTGATTGGCAAATGCAGTGGCGGGCCACAGAAATAATTTGGCGGGCCAAATGTGGCCCGCGGGCCGCACTTTGCCCACCCCTGATCTACACCATGAAGATGCCAGAAAACCAGCTTTTTAAAGTGAGACAGATAGTATAAGTATGGAAACACAGAAGAAGGCAGAACATTCCACAGTTTGGCTGTGTGAGGAAAGAAGGAGGCACTATAACGGGTTATTCTCGTGTGACCGGCATCCACAGAGAAACGGTGGGCACCGCAGGCGAGACGTGTGTTACGAGCCCTCGGCCTTGCCGGCGGTACACAGGTTGCCAAATCCACCGAACATTGCCTGTTAAAGTACCTGTAAAAGAGAGAGAGTGAAGCAACATTGCAGCAAAGAGAAAGGGAAGAGAGATTGACGACTAAAGGAGGAGAGTTAATAAGACGAAATGCCTTTCATTCCACCCTATCTAGCAGTTGGACAGAAGAGCCACCCCAGAAAGGAGAGCAGTACTCCAATTTAGGACGAATGAAACCCTTATATACTTGGAGCAACTGCTCAGGAGTGAAGTAGCTACGGCATCTGTACAGCATTCTCAAATTTCGGGAGGCAGCTTTAGCTATATTAAGGATGTGTGACTTCCAGGACATATTGGAGGAAATGGCGAGGCCTAACATATTTATTTCAGCATTTGGCAGGATGATAGCGTTCTGAAATGTAATTGGTGGGAGATGGTCTAATTTAAAAAGTGTAATTGGTAAATATTGAGTTTTATGACTATAAAATTTAACCAAGTTTGTACCTCCCCACTCAGAGATGCTGCACAAATCTGCATTGATAGAAGTAATGATATCAACTCTAGAAACAGATCTAGTTTGAGAGTTAGGAAAAGTAATGATATCAACTCTAAAAACAGATCTAGTTTGAGAGTTAGGAGGAAGGGGAAAATGTGAAGAAGAGTGAAGAGTAGAATCATCAGCGTAAGAATGGATAGAATTAGTTGTAGTGTGAAGTAAATCATTGATAAAAAGAAGGAAGAGAGTAGGTGAAAGAACAGAACCCTGTGGGACACCATTATTGGTAGAAAAAGAGTGAGAGATCGATCCCTCGACAACAACTGCCATGGATCAGTTCTCAAGGAAGCTAGAGATTAGAAAACAAAATGGGGGAGAGAAACCAAAAGAGGGAAGTTTAGATAGCAAAGACTTGTGCCGTACCCTGTCAAATGCTTTGGAGATGTCGAGGGCCACGACGAAAGTTTCCCCATAATCCCTAAGAGAGAATGACCAAAGATGGGTGCAATAGGAGAGCAGATCACCAGTAGATCTCGCCTGGCGAAAGCCATACCGGTGATCCGACAAAAGAGAAAGGCGTTCAAGGTGACGGAGAAAATGGGAGTTCAAGATAGTTTCGGAAATCTTAGAGAGGGATGAAGTTAGAGCAATGGGGCGATAGTTAGAGGGATTAGAATGGTCACCTTTCTTCGGGATGGGCTGAACCAAGGCATGCTTCCAAGAAAAAGGAAAATTTGGGGTTTTGAGGTAGAGGAGAAAGAGGCGAGCAAGCACAGGGGCCAGAGCTTCAGCACACTCCCTCAGAACACGAGGGGGTATTCCGTTCGGTCCCTGCGCCTTACTCACATCCAACCTGGATAACACACCAGCAACCCTGCGAGTGGGGATTATAGGAAAGTGCATAGGTTCAGTAGGAGGAGCAGGGGTAGGAGGGATAGAGTGGGAATCGTCTAAGGTGGAATTAGAGGAGAATAAGGTGCCAATGAAAAGGCTTTGTCAGGGGGAGAGTTGGCTATAGAGTTATCAGGTAGGAAGAGAGGAGGAAAATAGCAGTGCAGAAGTTGTTAAAAAAAATTTTGGTTAAGAACCAAAAGGATTTACTTGAGGAAGAATTAGTCAGGGCAGCGGTCTTTCTTTTTATAAATTTCCTCTTGGCCATACGAAGAATAGCCTTACAATGATTCCTGGAAGTAATGAAAGAGGAGTGGGTAAAAGGAGGAGATGGTTTCATAGCACGGTTTGCCTCATCTCTCACCCTGCAAGCAAGAGAGCAAAAGCGATCAAACCATGATTGTAATGTGAAAGGTTTGGTAGAAGATGGGATAAATGTACTCATACCGCCCTGTATAACCCCAGCAATGCTGTCAGCACATACCGAGGCGTCCCGAGTGGAAAAGCAACATTCATCCCAAGGAAAATCAGTGAAGAATTCTCGCAAGGATTGCCAGTGTGCCCTCCGATAGTGCCATAGTTGACGCTTAGAGGGGGGTGGGGGGAGGTGGTCGTGCCCAGTTTGAATTAATAGAAATAAGGTTGTGATCAGAAGACCCTAAAGGGGCAGAAATTGTGTATGAATAGTGTGAGGGGTTAGAGTTAAACAAAGATCAAGAATGGTAGCAAGTTGATCGTGTACAGTAGTCTAATCAGATTTGCTATAGGCCTACTGAGAACTAAGACACTTCGAGTATGTAAGCAGGCTGGGGCTGATCAGGTGTTGCCACATTCGTCAGGTTTACCTGTATTTATTTATTGATTCAGTATTATATTCTCATGTGATTGGCCACCTATGGTTTTTCATCAAGATTAATGTAACATATTCAGTAATAGAGAAAATACAATACTGTATGTAATTTGTAATATGACTTGAAAATAAAAGGATAAGCTGTATCACAAGGTTGTTGACTCAGATGCTTTCGTGTGAGCTTTCAGTAGACCATCTTACAACAGGGGTAACTATAACACATCTGTGTAGTATTTGACATGAAGATACCTTCTTAAAAACGTTAATTACTTCCTTTGAGTGTTATATGGTGACTCAGTTTGGCTACTTGTACACTTAGACAAATGATTAATAAATAGACTACAGGGTATATGCAGAGGCATAATACTTTACACTACAATATTACTTATTGATAATACTGTAAATACACTACAATAGTATTTATTAAGTGGTGATAAATACACTGCAATAGTATATATTAAGTGATGATAGATACACAACTGTTCTGTACTGTACTTATTTATTAAGTCTGTTGAAGACGGACATTGTGGTAAGCCGATCAGCTGTTTGCTCTTTGTAAACAATGACTCGTGGAGTTCAGTGTGGGATTCTTTTTTTCAGGAAAGTTGATTCTTTTAGGATAATATTTTATCAACCTGGCAAAAAATGATCCTAAATTATATGAGAATTGTGGTGGAATTGCATAAATAAGTGTTAAAGGAATCTTGTGGGGGAGAGGGGGAGGGAGCCACCCATGCTATCCCCCCCAAACCCCCAATCCCCCCACCCCCCATTCCCCCCACCCCCCGCTGCTCACAGAAAAACATTCGTCTTCCACATACTATATACTGTACTCCTACACTTATTTGTTCTAATTTTTATCTTTAGTACAGTATACAGTTTTCTCTTTATTCACAAGACAAATTCTGTGGTTACTTACATATAACACTTTACAGTAGGTAAATAGTAATCATCTCGGTGACAACCAGACTTACATGTCTGATTTTCAACCCAGAGAGTTCTGTTTCATATTTTTTTATTGTTGATGTAATATTCTTTTAATAACCTTGTTATACACTTAAAGACCTTAGTTGTTGAAGTGCAGTAATAACATAGCTTATTTTCTTTAACCCTTAGGCCCCTGGTGACGTTCTAGAACGTTCGATTAGCTCGCGCCACAGGTGACGTTCCAGAACGTCCGCCTATTTTCTCCTTTTTTTTTCCGTGCGGGGGTACTGCCAGCAGCACCCTAACCCGGGGCTTAAGGGTTAAACAGTTCAGATAAGCAGTGTTATCTCCAACCCCCACCCCCTATGTATTCACTTTTTTCGGACTGGGGTTTGCCCCAAGGTTCTACTGTACTGTATTTCCCTAGGGAGAGGCACCACATGGAGTAATCTCCTCAAACTTTTTAGGTTTTTCAACCCCTCCACCTTAGCCAGCAACTCTCACAACACTGTTACAAATAAATGAAGTCACTGTGATGCACGTGAATTTAGCACAAGTGGCAAGAAAATGTGTGGAAAATGTAAAGTAATACTATTTTCTTGGTCCTGCAAATACAAAAGGGAGACTGATGTAGTGACCTTGGAGTGCAGTCTACATAGTTGCCAGATCATGTTGATGCCAAATGTGTCTTGCATGTCTTAGCATTCATACGCAAACATAAATTTGTTTTATTTTTTACTTCATACAAAATTTGCACATGAAAACTCTGTAGCGATAACTTAGATCATACGTAATTTTGCATATGAAAGCCCCAAGAGTATTAGGTCAGTTGACCACTTTTCTATTGCAGGTATTGAAGCTGCCAACGTTGACTGGAGTACTGAGGATTCCTGTCGATTCCAAGCATTGACAGAAAACCGTGAATTTGTGTCAGTGGTGAAGGAAATTGAGGGGGAAAGTAAGGAATCTGTCATACTTTCTTTAATACTCATTGATACCACTGATAAAAAGTTGGATGTCTATATTCATGACCTTCTTATAAAGGAAGGACGAGCTGTGAAAAAGAATAAAAAAAAGTCCTAAATTAATTGCGAATTGCTGTCTGCTCTTCTGACAGTAATTATATGCAAATTCATGCTCGGAGTTGAATATACATTGACATTTAAGTGAAAGGAATGGTGCTCTTATGTTAGTTACTATAACAGTGATATGTCTAGGAAAGTGCAGTGGTTATTTTGACCACTTTATATAACAGGAAAGGATAGTGGTTTTCTTTTTTTTTTTATAAAGTATTTTTATAACCTATTTACTAAGTATACATTAGGCAAGTTATGGCATCTGTTATCGATGCTCAAGCTGCCTTGTTGATAACTAAAAATTTTCATAAAGAATAGATTTATTTCTCTTAACATATAAACCAAAAACTTGTGATCACTAAACTTGCAGCTCACTTATAGCTGGGTTAAGTCTTAGTAGAATTTGCAAAGTGGTGCCTATTTTGTGAATATCTTTTGATTATGCTGTAACTGGAGAAATGTATATTTAGCTCAGGAGTTTTTCTTTACCCATGTTTTTTATGTATGCAATAATAACCATACATATTTCTCGCAGTAATAATTTGTGTTTTACAGTACAGTATCTCAGTAGATCTAATTCAATATCAATAGCAGTGCATGTAGGATGACTCAGAATATCTTCTTTATGATTACATTATTGAGGAGTTGTTGGATATGAGTATTCTAGTAACTCAAAATTTTTAACCAAAAGGCCTTGATTCAACTCCCACTTGAGAGTTCTACTCCCAAATCTGTGTCGAGTTAATCATTGGTATTGTGTACACCCACGACTAGCTCCTTTGTATCTAGGAGCTTCTAAAAGCAGTCATTGGGAAGTTAAGGATGACATTGTAAGGAAGATTTGTGCTGACCCATAATTTGTGAATTGCTTTGGTTTGGTATAAGGCTAATACAATGCTTAAAAAAAAAAGTAATATCTGCAGTATATATAAAAATATCCTACATAAAAATAGCAAACTTCAGTATTTAAAAATGTGAAAAAAAATAAAGTGAATAAGCATGATGTATTTTTTCTGTTTCTGGTTAAATGTTGTGTTTATTTATCCATTTAGAGAAACAGGTGTAACTAGTCTGGTCTAGTCATTATAGACCAAATAACTTCAATCCAAGACATAGCAATGGTATAAAGCAGTATTTTTGTTGTCAGAAAATATAATCATTGACCATGGATTACTTTGCTATAGTTGCTATAGTGTGAACCTGAAAATGTATCACTATGCTCTAGTTCCATGAAAACCATTACGTATAGTAAAATATTTTATTTGCTTGTTTTGTTAATAAAGGGGGCCCCCAAATTCGCGGTCCTCTATTATTCACGGATGACACCCTGGATATACCTAAGAATGTCCTGTGGGTAGCTTTAAAGTTGCCGGAATTTTCACGGCTGGGACAGGGAGCCATTTGTTCTAGAGACAGTAATTTTCTTTACCTGTATTATAAATATGTGTGTAGACACACACACCAAACACGTACTACAATTAAATAATTGGAAAATCCTCTCACAAATAATCGGAAACAAATTTATTAAAAATGTGACAGTCTACCCTCAAGTCCATGCTTTATTACTTCATTAATAAAGCACAGACTTGAGGATAGACTCACATTTTTAATAAAAAAAAATCTGATTATTTGTGAGTATTTTCCCATTATTATTTATTTGTATGTGTTTTGTGTGTGTCTACACATACACACACATACTGTATATACAATAGAGGTGAAATAAATAATTGTCCTAAGGGCAAACACACACGGATTTTTTTTTTTTTTTTTTTTTTTTTTTACACAAGTAAAAATGTAGCAGAGACCACCCCAGCCGCAAATTTGGGGGACCCCTCTACCACCAAAAATTGTACCGTGATATATATTTTCAGTTTCACTTCTCAGGTTTAATTCATTTTGCTATAAAATGGTTTCTCTGCATTCCAAATGTTACGGAAAGTTGAGAATTATATGATTATATTACCTTAGTCTCAATCTATTATATATATATATATATATATATATATATATATATATATATATATATATATATATATATATATATATATATATATATATATATATATATATATATATATATATATATATATATATATATATATATGTGTGTATGTATATATATTAAATTACGATTTAGGGGTTCACAATTTTTTTTTTTTTTTTTTTACCCTTCCATAATGTTCCAGTGTCAAAAAGAATAATGCTGACCAAATTTATTTCTTTATTTACTATTTGGTCATGAAATGAAACATTTAAACATATGTTTGTAGTATTCAGAATTTTGTACTGTCGTGCTCCACCACTTGCAGCAGGTGCTGGAATTACTTTTTGTCCTTTTTCCTTCCGTGGTTAAAGTCCTCAATCAGTTTAATTCCTTCACCTGCACCATTTTTGAGTGATCTGGTGACATTCTCCAACTCTTGTCCCTTCTTATAGTCCTCATCAATGACCCATATTCCAAAGTGAGTTTTTAGCCATTTTGTTTCAATACCCTGTCCAGGGTTTTGAATAAAATGTGAAACACTTTTTAAGTTAAAATTGCCTGATCCTTGTGTGTCTCATCTGGATGCAGACACCTTGTTTGTAGTAATCAGGTTTGTTGATTGCTTCCACCATTGCCAATTTATCATTTTCAGTGATTATGCCTTCAAAAAAATGGTGTCAATTTCTTGCTGATGTACCAGAGAATCCATTTCAGTGCTTATAGTCTGGCCAGGAAAAAATTTTCTTAATGGCCTTCAGACCATAGGGCATAGAGTGTGTTTGGTGGTGAGAACCAAGTAGACTAGATAGATGAATAGGCTTCATTGATTAACAGTTACCTCATGTGTCATCAGCTTAAACTGCCCTTTGAAAAGAGCGACCACCAAGTAGATTCTCTCTTCCGTTCCTGGATACTTTCATTTGCATCAATGGGGATGAGGCTGGTTTGAATATCTGACTGATTGATAATAATACTCCAGTCTATTTGGCTTCTTATGAATAGCAACACAATAGGACCATTGGTGGAGCCATAGAGCTCAGTGAAGGCATTTCCAATGATAAGCTCATGAACAAAATGACAAGAAACCAGATTGAACAGCTTCCTCTTAAGTTGTATTTCCAAAAGCCTACAAGCTTATATGTACCCCAGTGTTGGAAGTGGTTGTGTTGAAGTACATTCTGACAACTTGGTCCACAACACTCCAGTGTTGGAGGTTCTTGAATGTTGCATCTGCCATGATATTTCCTGTCTCTTGTTGTAACTTGAGAATGGCCAAGATCTCAATTCCCAGTCTTGAAATGGTAATTGACAGCTCAATTTACCATATCTACTTCAGATCCAGTCACCTCTGGAATCAGTTTGGTGTCCCAGTGAACTATTAATGGACCTTCTCTCAGAAAGTATGAATTCTGCTAGAGCTGTTTCACTAAATATCTGCCTTTGCTGTTGGCAATCTCTCCATAATCTACCGAGCACTTCTGGATTTGAAAGCTTTTTGGGGGGCAAGTAATTCAGCTTAGCCAAATAGTTATTGATTGAACATTACCACTACTGACAGAATATGAAAAGAATAGAGGATACCAGTAGTACTATTTCATGACCAATAATCAATAATCATTTCAAATAATTATTCATGGCATGGGATATTATATATCACAAATGAACAAAATGTGAAGGTTGGGGAAAAAAAAAAATATTGACACCCTATACTATATATGTATGTATGTATATATATATATATATATATATATATATATATATATATATATATATATATATATATATATATATATATATATATATATATATATATATATATATATATATCAAAAGAACAATGTATGCTAGAACTGTATTGATAATTTATATTGTGTGGTGGGTATATATATATATATATATATATATATATATATATATATATATATATATATATATATATATATATATATATATATATATATATATATATATATATATATATATATATATATATATATATATATATATATATATATATATATATATATATATATATATATATATATATATATATATATATATATATATATATATTTCATGTAGATCCACAATGAAAACGTGGATAAGATAAATCTTGATAAAATCACACGGCAAAAGGGAAACAACGGAGCACCTTAGCTTTCGTCTTTATTCAAGACATCTTCAGAGGCAACTGGATTACATGGACAGAGAGAGGCTTAAATATACAGGGAGACCTTAAAAACATGAGGTCAGGTCATAATGATGTCATCCACTAATCCCCACACCAACACACACGTAGAGGAGCTTAAGAGAAGGGGGATGACGTGAATTTGTCCCTTTAGTTCGGTCCCTCAAGCTACTAAATATTAATGTTGTTTTCAAGTATGACTCGACCATTACCAATATGTTAATAAGAAATAGCCCAAGTTTGAATGTAAATGGAAGTGTTTATTGTATTCCATGTAGCAAATGTAATTGTAATTATGTAGGACAGACAGGAAAAACACTGCAGCTCAGAATCAAATAACATAAGTATAATATCAGAACAGCATCTGAAAGCAGTGCCCTGTTCATTCATGTTAGGAATAATAATCACCCCATTGCTTGGGAAAAAAGCTTAGAAGTATTTAAATCATCTTGTGTTACAGAAAGACTTCTGGTTGAAGCTAGTTTGATTAAGGAATTAAAATCAATAAACCTTAGTGATGGTCAGTTCAAAACTCATAATATGTTACATAAATTTATATGTCAGTGGCCCAAAGTTAAAAATGCTTTGAAAACCTTTGATCTAGATGTATGATAGTTATTTAGTGGGTCCCTTATTTTTGACCCGACCTGACTAGTCACGTCACCCCCCTTCTCTTAAGCTCCTCTACCTGTGTGTTGGTGTGGGGATTAGTGGATGACATCATTATGACCTGATCTCATGTTTTTAAGGCCACCCTGTATATTTAAGCCTCTCTCTGTCCAAGTAATCCAGTTGCCTCTAAAGATGTCTTGAATAAAGACGAAAGCTAAGGTGCTCCGTTGTTTCCCTTTTCCCGTGTGATTTTATCAAGATATATATACAGGTATATATATATATATATATATATATATATATATATATATATATATATATATATATATATATATATATATATATATATATATATATATATATATATATATATATATATATATATTGTATTGATTTCTTTTCAGCCTTCTGGGATCCAAATAAAATAAAATGTATGAATATTCAAAATAATAAAAACTTCAGAAGCTTTTGAATTTCAATCTTCTTTGTTTACGATTATTCTTTGGTGGCTTTTAATTTAGTATTCACTTTTGTGCTAGCAGTACAGGAATGCAAATATTTATGTTCCAGGGCTTTTAAGAAAAATTTATAACTGCACCAAACTTTATTTTTTAAAAGATAGTGAAGTGTTATCCAAGAAATTAGCACAATTAATTATCAAAAATTCATACTCCAGGGACAAATAAGACAATTAATTATTGAAATTTCAACATATCGACAACAAATCTTGATTTAGCATGTCAAGGACGACTTACAGTACAGTATACTGAGAGTAAGCAATTTTTTTGGGGGGGTGGGGGGAATTAATTTTGCTCAAAATATCAGTACAGATATTCCTTGATGCGCAGATTGTGGATCTATTTCCAAAAAATTTAAATTATGATAATTAATTGGTCTAAGTCACTGGAATTTGATAATTAATTTCCCTGATTAATCTTAGCATTTCCTGTGTTGTAGTTTTGCATAAAATATCAGTACAGTACCTGTATAGGGAGTTTTAGATGGCCAGATATAGGATCCGTGGCCAAAAAGATGTAATTCTGATGATGAAATGTCGTCTAAATAACTTGGACAATTCTCAAAATTTCATACTCCAGGGATATTTAAGGCAATTACTTTTTGCTTTAACTTTTATCCTCTACACCACTGATCGGCTCATTAGCTGCTTGGGCGATTGGTCACATCTGTGTTACGCACTGTTGGCAAGTACTGGGCATGCACTGGCTCCTGAATATATCTGAACCTGCTCCAGTATTGGTCAAGTGTGGTCTAGAAACAGCTCACACTCGGTGCCATCACAACACTCTTGGGTAGGTTGTTCCAAGAGTTTAAAATTCTCACTCCGAAAAAATTTGCCCTCATATATATATATATATATATATATATATATATATATATATATATATATATATATATATATATATATATATATATATATATATATATATATATATATATATATATATATATACAGTGAACCCTCACTTTACGCGGTCAATTGAACCCACGGCGGCCCGCGTAAAGTGAACAACATAACATTTGGGATTAATTGAAATAGAGACTGGGCCGACCCCCAAACTCCACTTTTTCAGACACAATACCTACGTTGTAGTAAAAATAGCTTCTTAATTTTAGATGGTATGCACACACAATTAATAATTAAGAGAAATATCAATAATATTAGTTTTTTTAACACTTACATTAGTAGAAAAGATGGCTGGGC